TGGATCATACCAGCGTTCCTAATGTTTATGAATGTCTATGAAGCCCTTTGTCTCACTGCATACCGCAACATCATTATCATTCACTGAAGAATAGAATGAATTTCCACAGAACTGCTAGAAGAATTGGGTTTTTCTCCTTCTCTTGTTGGAAGTGTTGGATAATGGACTTTTAGCTATCTCCACCTGCGCCTCGAATTGCACCCAGTCACCATGTGTTTGTGTTGTGACTCGCTGTCAGCGCCTTGTAATTTATTCCATTCTGAGTGAGGGACCAGGATGACAGCCTGTGTGTCCACTCAGTCCATCAATAATGACCAAATTCATCATTCTCCTGTCTAGGAAATGACACGGCTGTTGACATGGTGAGACAACCCATTTTTGTCTGTGAGCAATAAGTGTTGACATGTAATAGTCTGCTGGTGAAATATTTGTGTTTTTTTTACTGCCTAAAGGTAGTGTTGTGTATCCCTATAAAAAAAAAGAATCATCTTTACTCGCTGTAGCGTGACTCTTGAGCACATGTCTCCCCCTCTATGTGCACAATGTGTCCCAGCAATCATCTAAAAATGCTCCTGAGCTCTGCAGCCTACACCCTGACAGAGATGAAGCCACGTCTGGGATTTGTCACTTTGGCATTTGATTTCTATTAACACTGGATGATTTCAGTGTCGGCAGAGAACCATGTGGCAGAGATTAATGTCTCTACATCCTGTAGTGTGCAACTACCATTTTCAGAGTCGACAGCTTTTTCCTCTCAGATAGGAGCAGTCCACGAAATGCATTGGGTTCAAAATCTGAAACATGACAGTGCCCTCAATTCAGTTTAGTCCAAAATATTCATTTAACCTTCGCAGGACAAATGAGCAGAGCATGAAACATTTCAACAACAACTCCCATTTCACATCTTAGTTCTTCTTGGTTCCAGTGAAATTGTTGTATTTTGATAGTTATTTACAATTTTAAATATTTAGTTTCTTGATTCATCGACAGCTACATTTTTAATTAAATTTCAGAAAAAAGTTTAAAAATAGATTTACATTCAATTATTTTGAATATTTATCAATGTTTGAGGATTTTCAACAATTAGATTTAGAACCATTGGCAATTTATTCAGAAATCTCAAAATGTGCGTTTCTCAAACACTGGCAGTGTCTCAGGGGCAGAAACTGGAAAAGAACACACAATCCTGCAGTAAAAATATGATTGCCCTACCGACTAATCCACACCCACAGTCAGCTTTATACTGGATGCTCTTTTTGCTTGTTTACACACATAAACTGCTCCCTCCTCCACTGGTAGTGCTACACAAGTTCTTGTAATGCCTTACTCCACCAGTTAAAGGTTCTGCTACAACATTATTGTACATTAATAATTATATTATTAATTTAATCCCTTTACTCACTTCAAAACATTATCCACAAATGCAAGTGAGACGGATGGGTTTAAAGACTGGCAACTGTCCACAGAATGGAAATAAAATGCTTGGCAGGACAGACTTGTCATCGTCATTGTTTCTGCCTGAGTAAATATGGCACAGAGCACTACTGCTAAGTAGAGCTGTACTTCTCCAAAAACTGATTGCAAAAACATTAATTAACAAAATGCTGGATCCTTTTAGGCAGTAATGGTCTGCCCTCCACACGGCCACACACAAACACAAACACAAACAACCATTTACACTTACATTCATATCTGTGGTCAATTAGAGTCCAATTAACCTAATCATGCATGTTCTGGAAACCAGAGCTCCTGGGAAAAGCCCAGGCTCACATCGGTGAGCATGCTGAGTAAACAGTGAAAGACCGGCGTAATGATCTTACTTAAAGACAACAGCCCTCACCCTTTCCCTGACTGAGTGGCCTTACAATATATACAATTATACTATAGGTCTCATCTGAGGCGCCATTGATAAAAACGAATCCCTCTAACCTTTTTTCTGAATACAAATTTAATGGCACCTGAGCATCCCTTGAGTTATATTGATGCCACCTGCTGGCTCTGTTTTCCACTGGTGAATGATTCCACCCCGACATGTCCTGATGAGTTGTAAAAACACAGTTAAGTGGGAGAGAAAAACCTTAAACCCCTTTAACGATGATGAAGAGATTTAATTTTTATATAAATATCCCACAGGAATTCCATAAATAATCATCTTCATTTCCTCCATTCTCCACCAACACACCTCCGAGTGTTCCAGATCACGTCAGAGATTAGGATCCCTCGTGTTTTCACAGGTGGCACCGGAGCACCAAGGGCATCAGGACAAAATCTATGCCATTAGGGGCAAACTCGTTAATTAACGTGGAGGCAGACAGTGTGCTGTCCCTGTTAATGCGCTGCAGAATTAAATCCCCTGCTCTCCAGACTGGGAGCCACATGACTAAAACACATGTTGATTTATGCAGGTAGAGCAGCTGCGACTCTCTGACTTATCACCACCTTTGTTTGTTGGCTAGTTTGTTTATTTGTTTGTTCATCTCTATATGGAGGAACGTCATCTGGGCCCGGCAGCGAGCTCATAATTCAACAATATTCTCCGTGAAATGTCTTCTCTGCAACACCTGTTTCATAACCGCCCTATAATCCCGACGGCAGAGAGGTTTTATTTGTGCATGACTGCGAGTGTGCTGCAGCTTTTAGTTACCCCCAACACCGTTCGTGTTGCAGTTGAGCCCGATCCTGCTGATTTGAATTACAGCAAAGTAGTCTGTCTAAGAGCCTGTCGGAGACCAATAAAGTGTCTTTTACTGTGGCTGATGAGCGGGGATCGGTGATAAAGTCTCAAGTCTAACGGTCCGGGTGTGAGCGCACAGTCGGGCTCCAGCTGGAGTCTCATTGTTAGGCTGTAAAAGGAGGAAAAGTCGCCGCCAGCGTGGAGCACATTAAGACCGGCCCGAGTTTGTGGGAAGAAGGAAGAAAGAAAAAAAGAGCTCGTACTTATCAAGATCTCCTCCTCTGCGCAGATCTGGCATGGCAGATATCACCGTCCCTCCTCCGTCTCCGTGGCTGTTGCAGAGGCTGGAGTTGTCACCTCCCGCAGTGGTGTCGGGGGCTTTTTTGCCACAGTCCGTTTATCTGGTAACACCGGGCAGAGAGGTAGGTTGATGCTGATGCTGATGCTGATGCTGAGGGTACTGGTCCTCGCTCTGACTCTCTGTGCGGGAAGTCGCTCAAAAGTGAAGCTGGAGAAAGAGCTGCGTCGGCGGCGACGCGCAGTGGTTGGAGTGCAGCCCGCAGAGCGATCCTTAGGCGAGAATGAAGCTGAGCAGCCAGAAGAGGACGAGCACAAACTCACTCATGCTGTCCGAGTTGGCTTGTGGTGTTAATTTGTAAGCAGGCTACGTGCTTCAGTCCAGACCTCCCACCCTCCTCCGTTTCCCCTCCTCTTCTTTCCCTCCTCCTTCTCCTCATCTTCTTCCTCCTCCTCTCGTCCACAACCACCACCAGCTGTGGAAGTTTATCTGGAAGAAGATGCCATGTATATTTCACATCACCCAGTTACAGTAAACTCATTGGTTATGGTAATCAGGGTGGTGTCACTTGCAGGAGATTAATCACATTGTTTGGCAGCAGGCAGATGCCTTATTTACCCCCATCCTGAGTTAAAATAGGAACAAGAAGGGGAAAGAAGTGGAGCGAAACATGCCAGGAGCCTGAAGACATATTTGGCACTCAGAAGGCAGATGTTACAAGTTTAATTAGCCCTCCTTCTGTCTACTTACTGTCTTGATCACCAAAGCCACCCCCCCCCCCCCCCCCCCCCCCCCCTGCAGGAGATTAACTCAATACATTTGCTTTATTGCACAAAAGGAGTGGGAGTGTTTAAGACGGATCTGGACAGAACATGCTTTTTTTTTTGTAGCTGTGCTATGTACTGATTCATGAATTCAATTTCTGTCCCTTTGTCAGAAACTGATGCAGTTTTGGGGAATTTCACAAGCGTTGCATAGTCCCTCAAAGTCCTTCCACTTGAAGGGAGTCCTTAGGCGTTTTAGTTTAAACTTGTTGAAGAACCAAATGCATTCATTTTGTGTCCACTTCATTTTGAAGTGAACAGCTGGATCGAAATCATGAAAATCTCATGATCTGCTGCCTTTTATCAGGAGAGATATTTTTGTGTTTTCTTTTTATACCTTTTTCTCCCTACATTTTTCTCCATCACGTCTCTATCTGCTTATTTTCTGCATCTTTTTCCTGTTCCTCATTTTTGTATTTTTGTTGTTCCCCAAGGGTGTGGTTGAAGGTCATTCTACACACCAGCACACTTTCAGCGGGTAGAGAGAGAAAGAGGGTGAGGGAGTGAGAACGTTGCAAGGAGAAAGGACGGGGGGGGCAACAGTGACAATGGCAGAGGAATGTGCGGGGCAGCCAGGCAGAATGTCCAGTTACAGTGCTGTCATCACTTTCCTCCTTCAGCGTGGGAGACATACAGGGATACAGTCTGTCTGAGAACACTGAAGACATAAACAGTGAGCCATGCTCCATGTCACACCCAAGGATGACCTCCATAAACATGACAGACATGGAGGACTCCCCCCCCACCACCACCACCACCACCACCACGCAGCCCCCTTTACTTGAATGTTACTCTGTAGCATTAAAGTTGAGTTTACTTCACTAGAAGTACACACACCCACACACACACACACACAAACAAGGCAATGAATGTGGTAAAGTGTTTAACTTTACTCACACAGGCATCTGGTGTCTATACATTCCCTATAGACTGACTCAAACAGCAGTACTTTGGTGTCGGTCTAATATGCTATCAGCAACAGAGATAGCCTCATCTCCAGACTTCAATAAAGAACCAGAGCTGATCAATAAGGGCTGCAGAGTTCTGTTTATCCCATTATTGTGTAAATACTGTTACAAACTTTTCTTTGTTTCCATAAATGTACCTTAAATGTGTCTTATTTTCACCCAGGGGGTCGGCTCCAGTCGAACAGTGACATGTCTGTGGACAAGTCGTACATTAACCCTACAGCATAAGTATCCTAACAACCACAGTAATACAAAGTTAATGCCCAGGCACAGTGATACACACATTTGCAAAGGACCAGCTCTGTGTTGCACAGTCGACGTGGTAGTTTTGATGTGTGAGTTTAAATACTAGCTACTGAAGAAAATCTTGCTGACAAGTTGTTGCATCACTCGTCACTACCAGCACCACTGACTTGATGAAGCTGCAGGTGTTTAGTTGTTTGCGTACATGCTGCTCAAAACTTACTCTGATAGTAAGTAGCTGTTGGGCTCTAGCTGGTTAGTGCAGATACACAGTGGAGTAACCACACGAACCTGAGGCAGTGATATGTTTACAAAATGTTTGGTTTTTGTCTTTGTCGTGAGTGCACAGTAAATTGTACAGCATACCAGAGCTGCTCGGTGTTGGTCCTCGTCCTGGATGCATTGTCAAAGGGAGAAATCTGAGGTTGGGGGTTGAAATCCAAAATCACAAATTTGAATTGTACAATCTCTGTTTTGTACACTTCCAGCTGTACAGGTTGTTTATCAGATGATGCATACCTTTGTGGTGGAGCATCTAACATCAAAGCAGGTTTTCAGTATGCTGTAGGGCTCCCCAACACCTGTAGGCAGACTTTTATTTGTAAAGCTTGTTGACTCACCCTCTAAATGGCATCTCCACAAATCCAGTATTATCTCCAAACACAAACAAAACAAAGGCTTTGTTGAACCTGTTTTTGTTGCCTGACTTCACTCCAGCTCCTTATTCCCTTCCTCTTTTGTGTCTCCTTTGCTTGTCAGCATATATAGTGTGATGTGTTTTTCCCGTCGTCTCCAGCTGGGCGCCTCTGCTGCCTGCAGTTTGGGCTTCTGTGTGTGTGTTTTTTTTTTTTTTTTTTGCTGCAGCCTCCACATGTGATTAATCATGTGAAGTGGAAATAATAACAGCACAACGCTGTTGTCAAGACTGTAACGGGGACATAATGGAGTTGGAAATGAAATGTTTTGTCACAACGCCATTTCTTATTTTCTCATCTGTGCCTGTGTGATTCCTCCAACAGTACATTCTGATTTTCTACCAGATATGTTTGTAAAGGCAACAGGTCCAAAGAGTCAAAGCAGCAGAAAGAGATTTTGGCTTGTTTTGGCTGTTGTAGAGATGAGCCCTTTTGTTTGGTTCACACTGTCAGTTGTGCACTCATGCAGGCTGAAGAGGGACTCCTCAGCTGTTTGATGCATGGCTACATATTGGCTTCGGCACAGTTCACTGGAGAAGGTGAAAGAAAATCGTTTTCATTTTCCACGTTTGGGACGTGGAATCTGCTGATTCCAAATCAAGTCAAAGCATGTCCACCTTGAGCTCAATTTGCTCAGTGATGATGCAGTGTGTCGCTGAGTCTGTTAGACCTGATCTGACCTGATAGGCATCTTCTCCCTTTCTGTTGCCTGTGAGAGGCTCAACATGAAACCTAATTAGGTGTTTGACGCCACAAAAGAATAATGTGATAAAATGTCAGGACTGGAGCGGATTAAATGGACACAGTGATGAAGGTAATGTATGATCTTTCACAATGAAAAATTTAATTAACCTCACCTCCGACCAGCCTCTCCTCACTGTAACACCTTTGTCACCCTATCAGGGACTTCCTACCACCCAGGGCAATTTATCCAGTGTCCCTAACTGCCAGGGGCAATTAATTCTGCCTCCCGTCTCAAGGCTTTATCTTTTGTCTATGTCCTGTATCTCCATGCATGCCACACTTCCATGAACACAGTACTATTCTTGACCTGTTCTCCCTCTCTGTCTTATCCCCCTCCGCCTTCCACACCTCTCACCTCTTTCTCCTTTCTCCTCTACATCCCCTCCACCCCCCCACCCCCCTTATTTTTTCCTCCTTCTCCTTATTTTCTTTTTGTTCTCTGGAATGCAGAAACACCTGCGACCACACACAGCGTAGACCTCCCCACTCCCCTCCGTCAGCACTCTCTGGCAGTTTAATATATGCCCACATACCCACTCCTTGGCCGATATAGTCTTGTCAAAGTGAAATGAGGCCCAGGTATTCATACATAAACATTCACAATCACTCACTCGCCCATTTTAATAAGAGCTTCCTGCGGTCTTCTCCATACTTCAAACAAAACTGCAGTCTTTAAATATGTTGACATGCGCAAAATATCTACACTCAAATAATAATTATTGTGATTTTAATCAAACTTCATCATGACCAGATAAATAAATGCCTGGGATTGTCTGCTGAGCCTATGTTGTGTACTTTCATTGAAATGGAAGAACAGGCTTCACTTAACACGAAATGTAAATGATGCCGCAACCCTCAGCTATCCCTTTCAAAGTGATCCATCGATTTAGTCAACTTTAGTCACGATGGTGCTGACAGAACCTCTGCTGTCAGTTGGCAAACTGATGACTGCATCGAAATACACTGAGGACATGAGCATGTTCTGTAAAGAACAAACATTGTTTTATCTCTTTTTATCAGAAAATTATATCTCAGTATGTATGTATCACACAAATAATGTTGTGTCTAACAATGCAATGGTATTTTTTATAAAGCACGGTCTTACAGGTTTCACATACCCATTTTCCCAGTGTTGCGTAAACAAGTAAAAAGTGTTATTGCTCGGTCCGTCCACTCACATCCATCTTTTAGTTAGAGTTTTTTTCCTTGCAGCCAGTAGTACCACCATTAGGTATTTATCTATATTTTTAGTATTTGGTAAGACGTACTCCATGTACATTGTTTTACATTTTAATGGTATATGCGTCTTAAAAAATTGTATTGTCTAGAAGTATTCACATAGCTAAGAGTGACTCAGTCGAACACCTCTATGAGCCACACGACTCCAGAAGATAAATTTCATTTTATAGTGGGAATCGAGGTACTTCTAGGTACTTCTACGGTAGAAGTAAGAGGTACAATGGGTATTCAGAGAGTAAAAAACTTTCATTGCCCAAAATGCCAGTTGAAGAAGTTAAAGAGAAAGCTTTGGGCAGATCTCTGACCCAGAAATGCCGCCTGGGCAGGTTCCATCTGTCACATATTAATGAGGAAAGTAACGCTTGTCGCCCCTGTTTATTACTTCTGTGACTCCAAGTCAGACAAATTCCATCTGTCCTTGTCTAAGTAGCACCTTCACTTGGAAACAGCAAAGTAAAAGATAAAGATAAACCCTGCCACTGAATTCTCTGTTGTGTTTGTGACACAGGCTTATAAAGGGCTAAAAAAAAAAACACGGCAGAGTCTTTTCACAGGGGTAATGGTGTTCATTGACTTTTCTTGCAGCTTCACCTTGGTCAAAAACCTGGTTACTGGGCTGATTTAGGTAATAAGGAGGTATCAGTTTGACAGCGACTGTGGGAGCACTGAGGGAAAACAGCTCGGATTCTTCTGTGTGATTGGTCGAGCTTGTTGGTAAATCAGGGCCACACGTTGCAAGAGTGGTTAAGGCTTCCAGCACCAAGGTCTCTGGTATGATCTGTGGTGGTAACTGATTTTATTTTTGTTGTTGTTCATGTCTGGTGTGCACATGTTTCTCCAGGAACTCTGGTTTCCTTGTGCAGTCTACCAACGTGCACTGACCATATGTGTGAAGTTGTCTTTCTCTCTATGTGTATAAGTCTAGACAACTGCACAGTGTGTGCTCCGCTGTTGCCTGATGAATACTGAAATTGGTTCCTGCTCCCCCTTTTACAGATCAATAGTGGTCAATAATTGTAAATACTAGGGTAACACAAGTAAAAGAAGTGTCTGGTAAACTCCAAGAGGAAGTATAGGAGAAAAGACGCCGTCTCCACTACACTGGGGCTACAGCTGATCTACAGTACTCCATTTGTTCAGAGCTACTGTTGATAGGCAGTGACATTTTCACAGAGAAAACAAAAAAAAAAGTTCTTTTCTACGTTTCTAACATATTCGAATTTCTTTTTCTCTTATCAGGCAAGAATCAAAATACTGTTGCTATGTTGACACGTTCGTGTGTGACTTTAAGATTCCTCAATCAACATGTTCTACTCTTTTTGTTTCTGCATTTCATGAATTGAATGTTTACCAACTAGTTAGAATAATTATTATACTTATAATCATTAGTTTCTGCTCGGCCTGAAACAGAGCACAGTGAAACGGTAGCGGTCATTTGAGAGATAAGATAGTTGGACAACTGCAGGGCCTAAACCATACACTGGTTTGTCCATTCCCAAAATAATTGGTGGAATGATTTTTATTTTTGTCCACATTTCTAACTTTTGTGTGTTTATTATCCTTTTTTTAAATGTGGGAATATCTCAAAGTTATGCAGGGAAGATATTTGACAACCCTAAATAAAAATGAATGATAGAAATAACTCGCAGAAGGATTTCAGTTGTTTTAACGCTAAAGAAGATTTCTTTTCCATTGGTCTGTATCAGAAAGATTCTTTGGACTGGCCTGTTTATACGAAGCTTTCTTATTCTGATCAAGCTTTTATTCTGATTATTTTTGTCCTTTTAAATGTGGCTATTGTTCAGATATTGACCAGGGGCACTGGCCACATTCTGACAACTTGAATAGATCTCCGTCATCTCCTTTCTTTCCAGTCTGTGCTCCTCCTCCCCTCATCACCCACACACACCATCCTGCCACACCAAGGCTACATCTTGTTAAAAAGAGTTAGTGAAGCTGAAAGGCCAATCACATTAGCACAGAAGAGATGTCAAAAAAGACTGCAGAGGTGGACAAGTCGATGTGAATGGACACTTCTCAGATTCTAATAGCAAAATGCATAATTGCGTTTGATAATCATAACCAATATCAAAGACTCTTGTACGTCACATTAGTCACCACTGGCCCTGTCCTACTGGACGATTAAAAATATCTCCGTAGATTATCTCATAATCCCAACTCCCAGAATTCTTTGAAGATGTGGGAGCGAGCGTCTCATCTTCTACTGATGTTGCAGGCTCCGCTCTGGGTGATGGGTAGCAGCCATTTTATACTGGAGTGTGAGCTGGCTCTAATCAGTCATGGTGGGAGATGGAGGATTTATCCAGCGGCTCCAACTCGAGGATGATTAGATGCCCAGATGCAGTGAGTGGAGTTAGGGATTTGGCCAGGGTGAGGAGGATTCTGTTCTAGTGTTCTCTCTCCCTCTGATTAATGGGAGGTCATGGAAGGTTGGCCGAGCAAACCTTGAACCTTACTTTCATGGCACATCAGCCCTGGGCCTCATTTAAAGATTGTGATTGCAATAACCAGCATGGTCCCATTACTGCAATTACGATAGTAAAACGATCAAATAACCTGAGGCGGGAATAAAACTGGCTGCTGCTGTCATCATCTTCCGAGGATAAGAAGCCAAGACTCTTAATTAAAATATGATCACCTGTCTCTGGTGCAAACTTGATTGTGTTGCTGACCTTAGGGCAGAGAATTATCTGCTGTGCCCAAGTGAGTCATGTCTCCTGCCTTTATTCGTATTACTCTTTGTCCTGGTTCAGGTTCATTCAGGTTCTGAGTTCAGCACTGAAGGACTTTCTGGTGAGAAAAGTCTTTTTTTTTTTTTCCTCATTCCAGCTTTCATCGCATCGTTTCTCTTTTATCTTTAAGCTCATTTGAGAAACATCAGGCAGCATATGTGGCTGGTCAGCAAGGCTTTTTCACATTGTGTGGCATGAAAGGAGAGTCTGGGTTGGTGGGAGAGATCATTATCCACCATTGCCTGAACTAAAAGAAAAGGAATGAGGGCTGAATGTGTGCGGCAGAGCCTGAGGCTTTGCATTGACTTATACCAAACAACATCATAGCCTTTACATTAATCCAAATTTAATTAACTTCTCTGCTCACTCCCTGCTTGTTTACCATTTCGGTGTTGTTAAAATGGGAGGGAGAAGAAGGTAGGGATGGGGGCATGGGTAGAAGGTAGTAAGCAAGGGATTACTATTAATAAGCACCACAGGGGCGGTAGAGCCTAGCAGGGGTTCTTGGTATGTGTGTGTGTGTGTGTGTGCGTGTGTTTCATTTCATTAGTGGAATATTGTTATTCACGCTGCATAATAACCTGCCTCGACTTATGTGATGTGTCAAATTTTCAATCAGTTTATTATTTTGTTGATGCACACAAATTCCAGAGAGCATTTAGAGCGGAGGCTAATGAAGTGAAGGCCCTGTGTCGATTTAGCCACTGATTAACATTCGTCAGGTGCTTTTGAAGCCTTTAGTGCAGATGACGCTCAGAGAACTTTCTGCTCCGTTAAGTTCAAATAAATGTCTTCCCGGCACTGTCATTGGAGAAGGTCTCAGGCTGACTGATCCATTATTAGAATCTGAGGTATCAGCTCCGAGCCGTCGCCGAGCAATGGAAGCTCACAAGTCCATTAAAATGTGTATTAAAATCCTTTCTCTCTCTCTCTCTCCCTCTCATTTTTGAAATGAACATTTCAATCAGTGCGTTACCTTTGGGAACGGTGGCGGATGAAGGTCAGTTTAAATTTCAACAGTAATAATTAGATTCTTTATTAGCTTTTGTCACTGAATTTGGCTCAGAAGAGAAATGGTGCAAAAGCGCAGCGTTGGCCGGGTGTTGACTTAATGTCACCCATCCATTTTGTTTTCGCTCTGGTTGGCCTCGCAGGAGCAGAGAAATGGGAGCCTCATTCATCACTGCTTTCTCTGGCTGTGGGCACCAACATGCATTCAGTCATAGCAGGAGTGACAGACAGACACACACACACACACACACACACACAGTCTGCAGGAACAGTGTGAATATAACAACAGTGAAGGAGGCTCCACACACACACACACACACACACGCACAGTTGCATCTTGGTGTGAGACACACAAACAAAGAGTGTGTGTGTGTGTGTGTGCGCACACACGCGCGTATTCACTCACACAGACAGATATTTGCCATCACAGACCACTCTCTGAGCCATTCATGTGTGTGAATACAGTTAGCCTCCTCTGAAGGTTTGAGTGACTGACAGCAGCTCAACCATCTGTATTCTGCCACTGACGGTTTTTTAAGCTCAGTCTCCCTGTATTTTCTTAGGGCAACTCTCTTTCCCATGTTTATGTTTTCTCATGTTTTCCCCTTTGGCGTCTTCTCAATTTATTTTTCTCATTTTTTTTATTTTTCCCTTCCAGAAAGGAATCCCCATCGGGCAGTTCGTCAAGGACTTCAATGAGAAAACCAAAGAGCTGAAGGAGGGCATTCCACTCCCTGTCCAGATCCATGTGAAGGTGTGTGTCTGTGCTGCAAACCCCGAACCCTGACCCCTTTACTCTCCACTTAACACCGTGTCCTCCCACAACTGTGCTTAATTCAAACAGCAGCATAACATTACCAGAGCACTTCCATTATTCATACTGTACCACCGAAGTAAGCCTTTCCATTTGCATTCATTAATGAGGCAATACCCAAAGGAAGTCGGAGTCAAAAAGCATTAAGTGCAAGCAAGGGAGGTGAACAGCTCAAAAAAGCAGTGTTTTTTTAGAGTGGGTAGATTTTTTTTAAATTTATTTTCTTCTCAAGGACACACTGGTTTCTCCTATTTGTTGTAGTCACGTCACTCAGACGAATATACGTTGTACAAAAAGCCCAATCCTCCTGAAAGCCTGCATTTATTTTAACATGCAATATCCAGCAACAGCTGTGCCATCACAAATGTATCCTTCTTTCTGCTCATGAGTACCACCTAGTGGTGATCTCACGACACGTGCCTGTTCTACTGTATGTACACGAAGCAAATGAGTTTAGTTGGGAAAAATGTAATGATTATTATTCGCCTACAACACGTTGCACCTGATGCAAATGTTTCTCAGCTGCTTTCTGCTACAGCTTTGACCAAAACCCCAGTATCATCCTGCACTAAATGTTATCATCCAGGAGAACGTTTCACATTTCTGTGAATAAACCTGTTTCCTTTTGTGGCAGAGGTTTAGATTAAAAGATCAATATGGGTCTAATTTGTGCATGTTAACCTAGGAGATGGAGTGGAGAGGGAATTAGATTGACATAAAGGCAGAGAAAACAACTGCTCGTGTTCTACACCAAGTTTACAAATCAGGCTTCTCGCACCTCAACAATTAACATAGTCTCCCATCTGTTCAGTCAGAGTCAGAGTCAAGTTTATTTCATACATAAAAATGTAAATTTCTGTGCCTGCGGTGCCCTTAATGCACAGAACTATTTAAAATACGGTCAGAGTCATAAAAAGAGTTCGTATGTAGATAAAAGCACATTATAGTCGCAGTTAGGGCTTTTTTTCATGATCAATTATTCTGTTGATTCGTCTTCTAACTGGTGTGTCTGTGTCTTATTTAGTCCATAAAATGGTGGAAATCGTTTCTGCAGGATTTTTTTTCTTTTTTTATGCATACCAAAGTTTTTGAGTCTACTGCTTTAGAGGAACAACAGAAACTTTGCATTCAGAACGCTGATATAACCACCGTGTTTTAATTTGCAAAAGTGTCAAATGAATTTGTTAGTCATACAATAATTAAAGCTATTTTAAAGGTAAGTCGGATATGTTTTGACTGGTCAACAGAGGTATAATAGAATATAAGAAATATCAAGGGACCAGATGTCCAGAAGATATAATTTATTCAAATTTATTCAAAATCCTTAGTTCCTCACAATTATAAATCTAATTTATAATGAACTTTATTAAAAGAAATGCATGCTGTATATATATGTTTAGGCTTATATTTCTTTTTAATTATTATTTTATTCTATTATACAGCACCAAGTCAAATTCCTTGTGTATGCAAATGTACTTGGCAACAAATAACAGCTCTAATTCTGATTAGCCGTTGATTTGACAGCTAATTATGTTCCCCTTATCAAAACAGAACTAAACTGTTTTATTTGTAATAATTAATAATGAATGCCCTAATAGCCATAAAAAAATAAAGTTATCCAAAGAATGTACACGTTGCTAATGATGCTGATTTAGTGTCTGGGTTATAAAATGGAGAATCCAACATTTGGATCAAACCACAGCCAGGGCTTCAAACCTGCCACTGCATTCCATGACCTTAACCATCAATCTGTTGTGGGGTGGAGATACTGGATGGGGAGGGGCTGGGTGGGGTGGGGGGGGCAACTGAAGCCCTCTATTATTTCCTGAGACATTTAAACCAGGCGTTGCCAGCAGTTGCTATCACTGACTCATCTGTCAGTGTCGCTCCAGTCATTATTCCCTGCCATGCGTTTACTTCCTTATAAGGAGTGTTTCCTTCCTTAGAAAGTTGAAAACTTCACACGCTCCATATTAAGGACATAAAAGTCATTTTTAGTCATCGTGTGGGCAAGGCGACCAAAACTTGCAAAGCCATGCCTTAAAGTAGAAGAGTCAGGTGTGTGTGTGTAAGGTCAACCTTAGCCATTAGCAGATTTTTTCATTTATTTTTTTTAAATGTACGGCACATTGTAAATGGCTCGAAAAGGACAATATATGGTCTATTAATCATTTTGACGACTATCCTGATTCTGTGCAGTAACAACGTGCCTTTTAACGGTAGAAAAGTAAAGTGAAAAGGCCGAAGTGTTGACCTGCTTTTACATTCTTGATGACTTTCACTCTACTTCCTGTTGTTGCTGTTCCCATTTTGCATGGGAATAAGAGGTTGTGCTACTAAAAAGTTTTATTGTATAAAATCAAGGCTGAAGCAGTAGCAGCTCATCGGACCTTGGTAACCGCCAGCTTTTCTATAGATAGCAGAAAAAGCCTGTTCTTTTAGTGGAAAGGTCAGTGCGGTGAGTTTACACAACTCTGATGACAAATCACCTGCCCTGTGGTATCTCCTCAGCTCAGCCTACAGTTTGTAGTGGTTTCTGTAGTTGTTGTTTTTATGTGACAGATAACAGATGGTACAAAAAAACTTTTTTTTTTGTCTTTTCTTCAATGATTTATTGACCAGATCCATAGGTCAGATTCAGTTTGAAAAAAAGATCTGTATCCAAGGTATGAATCTGGATAAAAGAAAGAGGTCAGGATAAGTCTGAAGAGGCTGAAGGATTTATTTTTTATTGCCGACCCGAGGCAGGATGAGATGAAAAGGGCAGGAGAATGAGGCCAGAGAGCAGACGTACAGAAGGAGAACAGCTGAATATATATATATATATATATATATATATATTATGAGCTGCAAGAATTAAAGATTCCATTTTTTCACAGTGGCAAAAGTATTTGTAACTTATTTGCAGTTACATTTGGTAAAAAGCCCACAGAAATGATTTGACCTGGTGTTTGCGAGCTCATGTTTTATTATGGTGATCTACATTCAAGACTCTTATTAGTGTTGTTTATGGTCTGGCATTAAAACCACTCTAAAACAGGCCACCGTGGGCCATGTGCCCAGCACCAAACAGCAAACAGACGGAATTAGCAATGAGACGCAGATAGAGCCAGAGTTTTTAGTCTGGGTCTCGTAGTCTGAGGTGAAGAAATAAGAGGCTGATGCTTCAAACACCTCTCCTGGTGTGTGAAGTTTGAACCAGGCTGTTTTGTTCCTAACTATGCAGTGGAAAAAGTTATTTGTTAACCATATTCCTGGAACATTTTCTCCCTTCTGAGATTTCACAGAAATGGAGATAGTAATTTGGTTACAGCTCCAGAGAAAATAAAAAAATATCATGTTAGCTGGTCAAAAGAAAAGAACACCTCCATGTTGGAATACCAAAGAAAACAATTTGCATGTTGTTATTAAAGAAACATTCCTTTGGGAATATGCCAAAAAAATCCCCTTCCACATGAGAATACTAAAGAAAAGACAACCTTACTGTTAGGATGCCAAACACACTACCTTGTTAAAATATTTAAAAAAACACCAACCCACGTTAGAATACTAAAGAAAACACATGTCCATGTTAGAATGTCGAAAAACATCATTTCCATATCAGGAAACCAAAATAAACCCCCCACTCATGGAAGTACTATTTGTATATACTTTATACATACTGCATAAAATCAACCATAACTCATAAAATGGACATCATGTGTTGTTGAAGGTGACCTGAAACCAGCAAAAGACTTCAGACTTTCTATGATCACTTTTATTGAAGTTATTAATATCCCTGTCATGTCTTAAATTGGGTCTATAAAATAGGGTTTCTTGTCCCTGTATGTATTCGTTTTTCTAGTGTCTCCATGGGCAAAATATAAATTGTAATAATCCAATAAATTATCCGTTTCAATTCAATTATTATTTCTGCTCCAAAGATATATAGTGGCAGTGTGGTAACAGATTAAAGCTGCCTTCAGGCTATCATGTTCAAAGATGATAACTGTTGCCACACACTGCAGACCCGTCAGTCTGTGCATGATGAAGCAGGCTGCAGGAGACAAGCAGAATAATAATGGACCTGGGCGAATGGAGTTGTTTCTTCTTATAGTGAAAACAAAACAAAAAAAATACTGTAACTTCAAAAGTGTAGAGAAATCATTAAAATATCTCTCTTTATGTCCTGTTGAAGTTGGCTGTGCTGACTAAGAAGTGAAATGTCTGCAGAAATCGCCTTTATCTTTGGCACTTCCTGAGACAAAGGGGAATTTGATTATAATATACAGTCGGTACATGACGTACGTTCCTGCTTCACGTCCTATATAGGTCGATGTTAAATGAGGAAATAACTGAAGCCGCTGAAGTTCTGACCCGGTCTCGTTCAAGGTGCTGGGCCCCTGGTGAAAACTCTGATGTTCTCTGTTTCTCAACTGCACGGAATTTTAGGGAAGACATTAATTACACTGCAAAGAAGTACTGTAGATGATTAAGCACAGGCAACAAAGTCCAGTTATGGCGTGTTTTAATTCAGATAACATTGGGGGAAAAAGTTGTATCAGTGGTTAAACAAAAACAAAACAAATCATGTAACAGCTGCTGTGTACTTCTGGAAAATACAGCTTTTCTCTCGTCTCTTAGAATGATTTCGTTCTGTTGAGTTCTCATTAAAGGCAGCTTTAATTAAAAAAATGGTAGCGTTCCAATATTCATTTGTCAACATGATGATGCAACAGACGCTGCAGATAAAATCTACAACTGACAGTAGTTATTTCAGTGCTGTAAAAACCCAACCATTGATCCAGTTTTCATTTTCTTCACTCTGGTATAAACATTCCCCTTATCTCAACAAATAGTGAGAACTGGGATGATAAATCTGCTGCTGTTATAGACGCTCACTGTGCTTGCCATGCAGAGGCAGACAGTTTGATGGGTGCTTAACAACATAACTACACAAATAAATATTGAAAATAAGATAATCATTGACTGTGGCCCAGGAAAACGAGATACTTTCCTTCAGTGAGAATAAAGAGCTGAGATTACACTTTGATTTCCACTCTGTCTCCACAGCCTGACAGAACGTATGACCTGAAGATCGGCAAGCCCACGGTCTCCTACTTCCTCAAACAGGCAGCGGGCATTGCTAAAGGGGCCGGAAAGACAGGTGAGATGTGCTGCTGCACTAACGCTTCTGCTCCATCTCTAGAATTTTCACATGCCTAGCTCATCCTCAAATGGACAGCCATCTCTCCATCAGCTCAGTTTTGAGCTTTGCTGGGCTTGATGTTCTATTCATGACATTCTGCAGAAACTGCAGTAGCAGCAGAGGAAGTGGCAAAGGTGATGCTGTAGGAAAAGAGAATAATGCATGTCCTCCTTTTGTGCCCTGAACTATCTCATCACTCATTTTCTAGCTGTTGACACCAATCCTTCACCTTCCAACTCCCACATATATAACCATTTTTTTTATTATGTCTTCACTGATTTGTTTTCCATCTCTTTTTATGTGGGTGTGTGAAGGCCATGAGACTGCAGGGATGGTTTCAGTGAGGGCTGTGTATGAAATCGCCAAGGTGAAAGGTGAAGATGAGTGCTTCAAAATAAGGAACGCCTCTATGGAGAACGTCGTCAGACGCATCATTGGCTCAGCCCAATCGCTTGGTATCAAGATTGTGAGAGAGTAAGTCCGGACTCAAACTGGTCTCATCGTATCTAGAACACCAAGAACCTCACCTGTGGTCTTCAGTAGGGGAGCTGCAGCTCTTTTCTTGTCTAATGCTTGCTGCAAGAGCTTCTTCTGACACAGCAAGGCCACATGTAGTCTCCAGTTCTTAAAGTATCCATTTTTATTATTATTATTATTATTATCATTTGTTCTTCAAATTTTTTTTTTAAATTCAGCCCCAAAACCTCTGAGCTGGTCATCTAATCTTAAAGTAATTAGCAATGATGTAATCACGTGTCTTATGGTGAAGTCAAACTTAACTTCATCTTCACAAAACCAAGTTAGCTGCTGCTGGATTCGGCACTTCCACTTTTTCCTATGACTGTGTGGGCATCGCTGCCCATAGTTGTTAATGTTATATTGTTTCAGCAGCAGCAGGAAAAACACTGCAGGAAAATGTTTAAAATGTCCTTGGAGTAAATGTGCATGAACTTTGCATGATGGGAGCTTTTACTGCCACTGTAAAATAGACTGTTAACTTTATCAATGCCTGAGTGAGAGAAGGCCAGGTCAGGCATCCGTGAAACACACGACTCCCACAGCTTCCTCCTACGTGCACGGTCAACGTTTTTCTTACTTTCAGAGATACTGAAACAGTTTGAATATTAAATATATACAATTTTTAAAAAAGGAGTAAATAAAGAAAAACGAAAGTGGCAGGGGATGAAGAAGGAGGGCGCTTAGAAGAGTAATGGTTGTAGGGGAAATTTGAAGGGAGCTGTTGCTACAGCAAAAGAGTGAAAGGATGGAGTGAGATAGAAGCAGAAATCTGCCTTTGGTGAGCCCCTAATGGAAGCAGCCAAAAACATAAATAAAGCTTTAAGATATAGACATTATTGACCCTGACTTTACTTACTATTCAGTTAAACATTTAATAAGACCAGAAAAACATTTTATTCGAAGGCAAATGCATTTTCGCATTAGAAAAGTGCTGCTGGATAGAAGTGCGCCTTCCTAGTCTTTTATTATTGGAAGGAATTACTTTAAACCTCTGTGGAAACCAGACAAGTCGTAGCCATACAGAACTGATTAAACCAGTCTAAACATACAGATGATGATGAAGAAGAAGACGAAGCATCACTTTCTGCTAAAATGGAACATGGGATTAGGGACTAGGTGGAATTGAACCTGGGACCTTTGCATGGTAGTTCATAATTCTTAGAGTAGACTCCCAATCCAGACAGAGAGATATTAAAACTGACAGAGTCCTTGCTGTTATTTTTTCCGTCTGTGACAAAAAAAGTTTAGTCAAAGGTGTTCTTTGTGGTTTGATGAGGGATTTGATATTTGAAAACAGCTGTTTGAATATACTCTCAGAAAAAGAGAAAATCTCTATAAATATTTTTCAGAGGAGTAAAAATGCCCCTGTTAGAAGAGTAGATGAAACACTGAGTGTCCCACCTTTGCATTTTGTTTATACTGTGTGCAGTTGGTTGGGTTACTTTGGATTTTCCAGTGGTGGCAGTTTCTCACCCACGCCTGCAAACTTGTACGCTCACCTGAGAAGAGCATCCTTTGCATCTGAAGATCCGTCAGTGTTTATTCTGACAACGCATATTTATTATTTACTCCCTGGCACAGCACACGTCTCTTTTTAGCCATGAAGTGTGACAGTTCAGGGTTGACGCCGAGCGCTGCTCCCTCAAACCGCTGCTTCTGTTTCTACGTCGGGTAATGATTTTGTTTCCCCCCCCCCCCCCCCACAATCCTTTTCTCCCACCAAGAAACCTAGCAGGACTTGTGACTGCAGTGCATTATGATTTATTGAGGACACTGTCAGTAGAGAGACTTGCATCTCTGCCTCTTTTATAAAATATTTTTTTCGTCCATGGTTTCTGACCTGCTGCAGTTGTTGTGGGCTGAGACACAAGTTTCTCCTGTGTGAGAATTGTGGTCTGATGTTTTTGTAGCCTCCAAGTCCAACATGAAGCCACTAAGGAGGATTTAATCTTTTAGCTTTACTGCTTAGATCAACTTTTAAAAAAACCTGTGGTCAGACCAAGCACATGCTGCAGTGAACATCCTGAGTCACCTCTGCTTTTTATTTATTTACTCACGGAGACTGAAAGAGTTCTACCCAGAATTTGCAGCAGTTCTTGTCTATTCATTTCAAAATTTTCTTCATCTTCTTTCTTTTCTTCACTTTTTCGAAACTGACACCAATGACTTTTTAAAAGTGCCAGGCCTTTTGGAAAATATGGCAGCGAGTCTGAAATATCTCTGTTGAACAGTCAGTGAAAAGGTTAAAGAAGAGGACAAGTGGAGGGTAAAAAAAGTAATGTCAAAGTGTCTTTGTTAAAAAAAATGGAATTATCTATTAAGTATTGTGTGTCGTGAATTTGCACCTGGACCTTTTGTTCAAGTGTTGAAGCCTGATCCAAAATGGGTTGAATGCAGTGGACAAAACACTTATGAAGACTCAACAGCCAAAATATGAAGCAGTATACAAGAAATGAAGTGATAAATGTGTGTGTGTGTGTGTGTGTTGGTATCTCATGAACACGCTGTGCGCACGGTCTTATGAAAAACAATGTTTGTAATAAAGTTCAATGGGTCCAACAATAGTCCTCTCTAGTAAAATAGGGAGTTGCAGAAAAAGTTTAGAAACCGCCGCACAAGTCAGCGTTAGTCTTGACTTTTGTGCAACTTGTATGTCTTGACATCCTGCGATGCTGAATGTTGTTAAATATTGAAATCTGAAACTGTTTTGCCTATTTTCCTCTTCATTTTCCCTGTTCCCCAGCCCTAATGTTCTCCTGTGAGTTTGATTTCTGCTCCAGTAAAATGAAAGTCACAGATTTTCATGTCTTTTCTCCTCAGTCTCTCTGCTGATGAGTACAAAGTCTTCCTGGAGCAGAGGGAGGAGAAGTTGAAAGCTGATGCAGCAGCAGCTGCACACGCAGCAGCTGAAGCTTTGATGGCTAAAAAGAAATGAAGATCTGAAACATCCAAAACTAAACCCCCTCCCCCTCAGCCATTCCTCCCGTTTATACTAACTTTTTATTTATGTACCACAGTGGCTCACTGTAAGTGTTAATTTCAAAATCTGAATAAACAGTTGTTGTATGATGTGTGCCTTTCTTTTAATTCTTATCTTCGTCTAATGCGACAACAGCTTTTCACAGAAATTAGCAAACTCTCCAGCAAAGTGTCCTTCAAATATCTGAATCTGCCTTTGAAGTCGTTATGCCAGGGGCTTTTCATACCACTGTAGAGTATAGCGTTCTCTTTGGAATTACTTTAAGAAGAAATTGTTCCAATACTGCATACACGGCTTTCATGTCTTTCCCCATGTAGGATTGTTGTTGAGAGCATGAGGCTCTAACTTCTTAGACTTTTGATATCTTTTATTGTTGCATTTTTGTTAAACATTGACCTGCGAAACGTTTTATTTGATCAGGTGTATCAACCCTCGAAAACCTCGAAAATTTCTTCAATAAATATAAATGTGCCATTGGTGATTCTCTTATATCTAAACACTGCTGAATTGGGTGTTAACTTGTGGAGATGCTCTTCATTCACATGTATTGATGAGTTAAATAAGGTCTGGTGTTTTTTTGGAAATTGTCTTACCTATAGAATACAGTGGAGCAAATGCTAATTAAGGAAACAAATATTTAAACTAAACTTTTATCATAGAATTTTATTTTTTTTATGCTTATCAAATCACTGGTCCTCTTTCATGCAACATCAGCTTGTGTTGCAACACTTCACCACTGTGCTTTTGTAGGGAATCTTAAAACTTTTGGTGCAGAAAACCATTCCAACATCCATTTACAGCTCGTTACTTCTGGTTCTAGGTTGTTGCTTTGGGGAAAAGAAAAGGCTTTTTCTAAATGCCACACCAGACTGAGGGATTTATTATTGAGCAGTTCTCACACTCCTGACATTTATGCCGGTAATCGCTGCTCACGCTCCTTAACCGTCTGTTGGCTGCAGCCTGAGGTGGAACGTTTTATTTTATATGTGCATTTATCTGCTTTTACCACAAGACACCGGAAATAATATGGTTTTAAAGGACGGTATGTAATTTAAAAACAGACATTAAAATCATTAAAACGTACTGTACGTCTACTGGCAATTTTAAAGTATGACAGGATGACAAAAACGAAGCACAGCGCACGCTAAGAATAATTTTTACGGTGTCATTTTGTTGCATTTCTCAAATGAACTTTCGCAAGGGTTCAAATGCACAAATTTAAACATTTATAATCAACAACCCCACCTGGCGGGAAGTTTGCTGATGTACGCTACGTTTGGATAGCAGTTTAACTTGTAACAAGTTAACAAAATACGTCAGTGTCCCAACGATTGCAACACATTTAGTTTTTTGTATTTTTTTTTTATTGTTCTGATCTCTTAAACAATATCTCCCTTCCAAGACAGGCAGCACAGTAAGTAAAAGATTTGGACAGGATTGTATGTAACCATTCATGCTAACACAAGGACGTAAATGTGGCTAATGTGATTGGTATGCTAATATCATTTGCTACAAAAGCCTAGCTGACTTTTTCGTTTTTATTTTGCTTTAGTTTGAAAATGTATAAAATGTAACTTTTACATATGAAGATTGGAAGTTCTTTTTATACGAATGCTGGACGTTTTGGTTTTGTCTTGACTATTTTTTGACCGTGGTAAGTTATGGTATGCTAAAGCTTAGCGAAGCATGGTGAAGAGAACTAGGCAGATAGACATCTTGATTATTTATTTTACTTAAATAAATAAAAATGAAACAGAACTGATGTTTTGCTGTTTTGTAGATTTTTACTGCACATAATGTGTGTAATGAAAAATACTTCTAACTGAAGACAGCATTAGTGCTAACAAAATTATTTAATTACATTCTATTTTAACTGTACAAACAGTTTAAAGAAATGGGAAATGCAACAATTTGGTAGTAACTGCTCACTTGTGCGTTTATTTGCTCAGTGTACACCATATTGTATACTCATACAAATTAAATTAAATATTAACAATGAGTGTCTAATAACAGGAGGAAGAAAAGTAACAATCGGCAGTTGACATATATTGAATCTAAATTATTTTATTGATTTCACCTTTAATCACTCATTATCTCATATATCTTGCGCTTACAATGTCATAATGTAAAAAGGGCATACTGTTACTGATATCTGGCCAAATAACACTAAAGTAAATACATAATTTCTTCCATTTATTATACAGTATTAGAAAACCCCTTTTTCCCATCTGATGCAGAATTATTGTTGGCCAGATGATGGCAGCAGTTCACCGTGTGAAAAACAGCTTTACTCCAGTATACACTGCAGCAGCTAGTGACGCAATTATTTGTTGTCCAAGACAAGATAATGTTTGAAATGCATAGAATCTTGTGTTATTTTATCCTTAATTTTAAAGTTTTAAAGTTTTGTTTTTCCTGTGTCAGAGAATTACACAATGGGTTTGGTATCAGCATGGTTCATGATTTGATTTGGTTGTGTTTAAATTAAAGAAACTGCCGTTTTTGTGGCTGTTTTTTGTTGTTGTGGTTTTCAGTTTTAATCCCCTCTTCATGGTGTGGTGACCAACCCATGGTTTACCCCTCATGTCTCTTACTGTACCTCTAATTTTAGCCTCTCCTCTTTCCTCTAGGTCTCTCTTCTCCACAGCCCTCCCCATGCTGCTCCTTTTGAATGGAGG